ATGGGAGTAGGTTTTATTTAACATTGAGTAAATGGCTATTGTGCTAAATTGGCGAGATATCGCATGGCTGGCGGCTAATTTTTGGTGTCAGATTTGGTGAGAAATTACCAAAAGTTGCCATATTTGGCAATATTTTAGTCCGGTCCTTGTATAATTGATATGGGTATTATAACTGAATAACTTTTAATTAGTCCTGTTTATAATTGTAACCATATCCAGCCCTCATATGCCTTTCAATAATTTTGAGAAGTGGAAGGTACTAGAAATTTCTCGGTGGCTGGGGGGACACTATATAAAACCGGGTAAAGCACATATTCTCATTTAGTTCAGAGAGAGTTCGGAGTATTGACATATTTCTGAGTGAGCATCACTCTTTTAGATGTGCTTTTGCATTGCATTTAATCATTTGCGCTAAAAAGACGTGCCACACACGTCGAGATGCTTTTATCTCAAACCGCGAGTGACGTGAACATCACGTCGATAGGCATTTATTGCAAAAATGAAAATAACGTGGTGCACACGTCATCTAACAACAAGATTGTTTATTTTCTCGAGTTACAGCTCTGGATTGCACTCGCAGATGCGGAGCGGCGTAAATGAGACATTTTACCTCTTGTTATATTGTAGTGCACGGCACCGCAACTGTGAAGTTTAGTCGTAGCGTAAGTGCTTAACATTTGTAGTAGTTTGAAGTGTTACTACTGACTGTACTCTGTAAAGAGCTTTACGGGTATTTTTGTGGAAAGTTTCGGAACTGTCAAGTTCCTTTTGGTAAAATAAATTTTATCAAGCTGTCATCCATTTTGAGTGCATTGAATCTATTATGAACTCATGCACCAAACAGTAGACTTAATTTTATTATAAAGATTTGCTTTGTAAACTGTAGCAAGGAAATACTAATCATCACAGGAATATTTTGGGGAATATTAAAGTTACAATTATTGTGCAGGTCCATAGAAAATTCGTGTAATGCTTCATAATGGGACAAACCCCAATTTTACAGGAGTATCTCATATCAATTTTGTAGTAAAAAGTCAATTATGAAATCTGCAAAATTAGTAATAAAAAGATATATAGTGAAAGGTAAGAAGAAATGTTAAAATATAGTGTGCAGTGACCCTAAGGACAATGAATAACAGGAAACATGCCAAAATAAAACGTTTTACAATACAGAAAATTCAAAATGTTCATCTTCATTGATGCTTGCTTGTATACAGGGTTACTTCCTAGCACAGGCAGCCACCTAACATACTAGCTAAGTGATTCTCACAAACGAAAATGGAAAAAATAAAAATTCTATTTTGCTTTGAATTATTAATGTGTTTTGTTTATACAGGGTTCCAACTGTATTGATTGCCTAAAATGCTGGAACCTGGCATGTTTGAACACACACACAGTAAGATACTTCAGCATGTTTTCCAGTACCTTTATATTTATATACCATTACCTGCAGCTGTTATCTTTTGTTTAATATCTAACACGTAGTTCCATAGAAGACGACAAAGCGGACATTCCTCAGAACTAAAATTAACTCTTCGGAAATATGAAGATAGTCTCATAATTTTATTACCCTGAGAAACTCGCATGCTACATAATACTTCTGCTCTGTAATGTAAGTTAAATCCTGAAAGTTATCTGAAAATAACATCAACATATTTGAATTTCCAGTAAATCTTATCTCACCTCTGTAATATGTACTATGAGTCAAGATTAAGTCAAATGGAAGCATTTCTGAATACAAAAACCTGTGATCTTGGAATGAAATACGGATTTCAACATGTAAAACCTTAGTAAACCAAGGCATTTTGGCAGTCAATCTTCATAAAGGAAACAAACTAGAAACCAGTTTTTATTATAAATCTTCTGAATGCTATTTATATTAATTTGGTTTCATAATTTGATACTTGCATTCAAAATATTCTATTAACAAGTTATGGTTAATCATTTTGTGATTCACAAACTAAAATGTGAAAAACAATTTATGATAAAAACTATACCATTTTATATTTATTGTATTTCTTTCTTATAATTTGTATATTTTTGGCTGAGTTTAAATTTTTTTCTCAATTACATAACACAAGAATATTATTAGTTATATAAGAACTGATAATTTGAATGTGAGGAAAAAATGCTTTTCATACAAAAATGGCTGCATTAAAAGTTATCTATAAAAGTTTATACTAGAATTATTTATTTTTTTCAAATCAACACAATCAGATATAAATAAATGAAATAATCCAATATTAAGTTCCAAAAGATATTGCATGTCATGAAATTAACCATGAAATAAAGGCATTCATTGCAAAATAAATACAATATACAAAATAGTAAACTAAAAATATACATGTTTAAGCAAAAATTAAAATTTTACAAAAAGAGTGTTCTAAACAATTCTACAATGTGCAACAAAAAAAAAAAAAAAAAAAAAAAAAAAAATTTACAATTCAACCACATACACATTTAACTTCGAGCATTCATAAAGTGAAAAATTATATGATTTCAAATTATAAAGAACAAATTATACATACTGATTTTTCAAAACTTTCACTGAAAAAAAAATTTGCATGACACCATACAAAGTCCAGGTATAGTGTTAAAACTTAAAACTTAAAAAAAAACCTCCATTCAAAACAGTCCAAAAGTTTATTCTTTTTATTGTGACTAGATTTCTCATGTTATGAGGTTTAATTTAAATAAAGTATATGATTTATTTAATAATGCACTTATCCACTATTAAAATTAACTCTTCAGATTCGTCATTTGAGTACAAAATTGTCAAATTTTAAGCTATTTAATACAATATGCAAATAAAGAGGGCACTAATATTTCATTAACAAAGGAACACGGACATAACAAAATACATTCATAAATACAACGAAATTTATGATTAAAAAACTGTAGGAGAAAAATTAATTTTTCATGTATTAAAAATAAATTTTCAAAATTCAGTTCAAATACTGAGATTTAACTCAATTTTACTAAATGTTTTATATTGCTAGGGTAAATAAATTTTCTATCCAAAATATTACATTTTTTTTTCATGTAAAAAATTCATTTTGAGCACAAAATACTCTTAATTAAAAAAAAATTGATATAAATAAATTATTAAATTATATAAATGTTTACAATGTTGAAAGAAAAAATTAAATGTCTAAAAGTGAAATAAAAATGGTCTTTTTATTTGAACAAACAAATACAAAAGTTTCACAGAGTTTTTTTTAAAGTGAAACTTTTTAAGTTAAACTATAATTAATAGCTTTAAAGAATGGTCAAATCTTTAATAATATTTTAATGCAACTGATTGAATAGAAACTAACAATTTACTTGTGAAATGTGGCCAAATATTACATTTTCACCTTCTGAAGTTAAGGATAAGAGGCTTCCCTTGATTTTATAAAATTGATTTAATAATTAATACTACAAATGAAAGCAAATTTACAGTTTTTATATATAATTTTTTAGTTGACACTGGCAAGCTGGGAGGGGGGGAAAGGTTATTTTCTTCTTGTTTCTAATAACTAAAAACAGATTTTAATTTAATATTATTTTAAGAAAATATCAAACAGCCATTACAAGCTTAATATAGATGTTTAAAAAAATTTAATATAAAGTTCAAAACTGATTATATGATATGCTATGCTAAAATATTACAACACAGAAACACATCCACAAAACTTTCTGATGTGGATATAATCCAACCAGATTTGGCACATAGCTTCATTTCCAAACCAAATGAAAATTTCAGAAACATCACAAATTCTTTTTAACATACACAATTCGTAAAATATAAAATCTTGGTAAACAGATGACACTGATAAAATTATAAATAGAAACCTACCAAAAAATATATATATACATCATGTGCATTCCTTATCTAATATTTTTAACTATTAAAAACATCATTTCATAAAAGATTTTGATTTTATTAGACCCTCATTATATTTTCTGCTTTTCCTTTCTTCTTTTTTATCTTGATTTTATTTTTGAAATTAGAAACATCTGTAGCAGAAATCTTTCATATCTTATATTATGTTACTACGGTACTATTTATTATTCCTGTGGCATATTAATGTATAGTCATTGGACTAGATATAAAATCTTTTAACTTATTTTCCATGTGATCTAGCAAACAGCCAATTTCCACTGTGTTACTATTCAATATGGCATAAGATTTCAAATTAATTTTTCATATTAAAATAATAAGCTCAGAAATCTGAAGGCATCAAATGTATTTTTTGATAATTTAAATCTTTAATTTTTTAATGATGTATTTACTTGCTTTAATTTAAAAGACATTTGTTTGGATATAATAAATATTTTCAGAATTATAGATAAAATTAATAAAATATATTTCTGATTCTATTACATAAGTCAATAAAGAACTATCTAGCTTCTGCAACCATTCTTTAGCAATAAATTTAACATATTTTTATCATTACCAAGTACTAGTAATCTTTTCAATGTAACATGTAGTTACAATTATTATACATTTTAAATTATGTGTTGCTAGAAACATAATTACACTTCTTTTGAATTAAAACACATAATATAAGAAATTTATTATTATTATTTTAATTTATGAACGTAGATCACAACAAAATTGTTGCAATTTGGGCTGGATTTAGAGCAGACATTTGATAAAATTCTTTTGCAAAATACACCTTGGTAAATATTCCACGAAGGTCAAAGCTCATAATATTAAATATGGCCTTAAACTCTACAGAATTAAATTACTAGCCATATTCAATTAATAAAATCACTAAATTTTACCGATTTTATTTTTAAATACCACTTTCAGCTAATAATCACAAATGTAGTCGCCCACACACTTTGACATAAAAGTATATACTTATTTCAAATTTACCTGAAAAATCCAAATGTAAATTTGGTCTGATTAATAGTTATTACAGGAGGAATTTGTGCAAATCAATTTTGAAACTTCTGTGAATATGGAATTAAAGTCTCAGTTTAAGAATGTTTCAAATTAAAAAAAAATATATATTAGAGACACTTCTGAAAATTTATTAGTTTCTGTTGTAATAAGTAAATTAAGTATTTAAGATATTCCTATCACTGCCAGCATCTGAAAACATTCTGCCAACTGATTGTCACTCCTTTTTAATCCAACTAGAGCTAACTATAGTGTTACAAAATGTAAAGGCGCGGTGAGATGGCAACCCTGCCTTCCCTTGCCATTTTATGGCAACCCTAAAACTGCTTCCCGCAAAGCGCCTTTACATTTCGTAACAATATAGAATTTGCCAAAAGTGTTAGAAAAATATTTGTGGCAGTGATTATAAGTGATTGTGCTACTAGTACATGTTGGTTTTAAATGAATATAATTATAATGCCAGTCTCAAGCAATTTGAAGAGATCTTCACTTACCACTTTAAATAATAATATTGTATTTAATAATTTCTCTTTTTTACTAGTTCTATCTTTGGAAAATTGTAAGGGAAAAATTACATACTATATAATATTTCTTATGAGAAAGTTCAAAGGAATAATATAGCACATTTAAACAAACATACTAATACTCCAGTAATAATTTGTTATAAATAATATTCTTACTACTCAACTCGCTGACTACTTCTTTTCCCTTTTAGCTTCTATAATGTACTTTCCTATCTGTATATATATTTTATGCAGTATCATACTGGAATTTCCTAAATTAGTATATGTTGAAAAAACTAAGAGAAAATATGATAGAAATATTATAATTAGCAGTTTGAAAGTTTTCAATATCTGTGTTTCATAAGAATCTACTTTTGGAAAGTGGTCCTAAAATTATTAACTCTAAACACTTCATTACATAATATTAAAAAGAAGACATGAAAATAGAAATATTAATAACAGATCAATTATATGCGAATAAACCAAATGATTTAAGCAGATTCTTTGACAAATGAAGCTCATGTTAACTAATGAAATGTTCTTGTAAAAACTCCACAGTGTCTTTATGCATGAGCACTAGTATATGGATTGGACCGCATTATTCAACTAAAGTTAAGCACAAGAGCAGTTTTCCTAAAATTCATTCCAGTTTTGACTGTGAGCACTTCTGCAGGACACAATCCAAGGACTTCATACCTCTTTTCTTTTATCAAACACTTCATAAGAGAAATTTGCATTGATGTTTTGTAGCTATATAATATAGCTTTAGAAGTCCTCTTTGCCTTTAAAATAGCTATTTTTATGATTTAAATGGTTTATAATTAGACGATAAAATATTTAACCTGAATAATGATAAATTTCATTTTGAAAAGTGAAGTCATAAATCGCACAGTTCCTTGACCCATTTAATATGATTTTAAGAAAATAAAAATAATATATTAGAAGTGGCCAAATTTCATGTCAGTAAGAGTGTTGGAATTCAAAATAGTGCAAGAGCTACAACTATATTTTCCAAAAGCCTAAGTGTATGTTTACATCATTTTAAAAGTAGTGAAATAGGTTTCAAAATGGAAAGGAATTCTTATTCTAAACAATTGTTCGATGACAGTTTGTCTTACTTTTTTCTGAACATTGAAAATTTTAGTTTACCATATTTCTTACATATGTTTTGCATAAGAGCTTAGCCACTTAACTTCTAGAGCTGCATATGTCTAGCAAGCTGTGCTGTAGCCACCTCTTATTTATATATGTGTGTAATCTAATTGATCAAATTATAGGCAGAAAATAATCTTATTAAAGAAAAGTATGACTACATATGTTTTTTATAATAATTTCATGCAGTTCCTTAAAATAAAAGAAAATGGTCACTTTTCTTTTATTTGCATTTAAATTTATATGACTTGAAATTTGAGATGTTTTTAAAGGCAAAGAGGACTTCTAAAGCTATATTTAAGGATATTTTTTTATGAATTTATTTTATGATATGTAATTTTGACCTTTCTGTGTTATACATTAACCTCTTCAGCAGTGACTTATCATGGAAATCTTTTGAGATAGCATGTTTTAGGCAGCAGAGCACAACCCAGAACTTTCCAAGGCATGTTTTAGGCTTTCCTAGGCAACTGTTAATGATGGAAACAAGCTACCAGGAACTTATTAAGAATAAAAGATACCTTTAAAATACCTCACTCAGATATTTATTAATGTTTCCTTTTTTAAAAAACTTTTATTTAACATTCAAACATTTAATCTTTCAGATGGTGGATTTATAGAAATAGGACTAAGTTATGATCAAAGTCCTAGTGTCAAATGGATCATTACAAATGAATGCTGAGCACCAAACTGCTTTATAATTATGTATCTAAAAAATACTACTAAGCTTTCAAAACAAAACTGTTTTAGGAGAACTAATTCAATTAGCAAAAATATTATCTCTGGAACATATCAGTTATACAGGAAAGTATATGTTCCCTAATAACAGAGTGATATACTATTTAAAAGTTAATTCCCAGCTTTAACAATTCATGTAGATTATGAAAAAGAATATTGAAGAAATTGCCTTATCTTTTTCTGAGGAGTATAAATGTAATAATTTCACTATTATATTAATGAAAAATTTACTTCAGATACATTTCAATGCATAAAAAAGCCCCAATATTTAGTGGAAGCCCAAAAATAATGAAAAAGTCCTTATCTAAAGTGCATGTATCAAATTTTAGATATATCTTCCATTCTTATAAGTACTTAATTTTTTTTAATTGAAGAAAATGATGTTCTATTTAAAATTTTACAGACTTTATATTATCCTTAATATTTATGTACTGCATATAATGCATTCTGAAATGTGTTTTTTTTATCATATAATGAGGGTCTATTATATTTAATAGAATCATGAGAAATTTATTTAAAATATTCAGTTAAATAACTATGAACAATGAATAAATTCACACATGAGATCAATAAAAATGTCTTTATGATATTAAATAGTTGCACAATGATATAACAATGACAATAAATCAATTTTGAGATATTTTTACAATTAAAAAAGGTTAAGATCAACAAAAGGAAATAATAAAAAGTTAATAGAAAACTTTTTTTGAAGTTAATAAGCAGCAGACCTTTATAATTTCGGGAGGGGGGAATAGGAGTAAAAAAAGAATCTGCTTAGAATAACTTAAATAACTGCCTTCATATAAAAGTACACAATTTACAGACAAAATTAATACCTTTACATGAGTAACAAACATATAAAGCTGCAAACATCTAAAATCATGCATAAAGGTGTGAAAATAATTTGAATGCAGACTAGAAAAAGGGAAGATAGACTTAAAATAATATACACAGATATCAATATATACTATGCATTATTAAACAATCAAATATTTCATATTTATTTTCTCTTCACATTTCGTATCAGTAATGAAAATGGAATGTGAAAAGAAAACAAAATTATTAAAACCAGCTGCAAAACATGAAGGATGGAAAATCACAGAATGTACTCAAAATATCAACTAAATCTTTTGACACCATTTAATAGTATATATTTTGAAAAAGTTATGAAACTATACTGTAATTCACTAATTCTCATGTTACTATGGAATGTGTCAAGCTCCTAGTCAAAATTTTCTGATGCAAGTGTGAAAACATGACTCAAATCTCAAATTTATTTACATACTTTACATAAGCTAAATACAGTCAATTTGATTGAAAAAAAAATCTTGTATACTAATTCACAAATGTAAAAGTTGCTTGAAACAGAATAAAATAATAATTAAAAAAAAATTCATGAATTAATGCTTGTATACAGCACACATTTCTTACGTCCATCCATACTTTTAAAATATATTTTACAAGTTATATCCTGATATCATATAGAAAGTGCATGATCACCATGCCACACATTCTTTCACAATCAATGTCCATCTCATTAAATATATCACAAATATTCTGTAGAACACACCACAGCCTAATGCTGTTATATGCAAAAATACAGCAATTCACAGGAGCAGCACAAGAGTTCTTGTCTGCATTTAATAGTTTATGATGATTTAGTAGCAATTACATTGAACTGCCAGTCATTCTGAAAGCAAATACAGCTTCCAAAAAGGGCTATAAAATATGCATAAACACTGAGGCACAATAGTTTCAGATTTTGAATGATTTACAATTTCATTAATGACCTTTTGCAGCTTCCTTAGCTGCTACTATTAAATCATGAAGGCTTGCTAAAGGTTGAGCCAGTTTTAGGAATGGATGCTGAAAAAGAAGAAAAGGCGAGGAAAATCATTCATTTTAATAAATATACACATATAATGCTTTTATTTTTAATTATGTTTCTTCAAATATAATTAACAAAATATTTCATGAATATCATATTAATTATGTATAAAAACAGTGTGAGCCTCAGTGTCAAACACAAATTTGTAACATATTCTACAGTCATGTTTAAAATCAAAACCACTTGTGCACTGAATGCAGCAACAAGCAGTGGTAATAATAATGCAAATAAACCACAAGCAAAAACCAAAAACTGGAAGCACGTGGCAAATTGCATGAAAAAGGGGCAAAACATGGTAAAATCAAAAAAGAAATTTACATCTTTCTCAGCATTGTCATCAGGGGGTTGGTGTAACAAAAGAAGTAAATAAATCAGCCTGTTTCTGAACCAACAAAGACACAAAGTTTAAAACTTAAAATACTCTCAGAAAAGCAACCAAACTGATCTGTGTTTTTATCAGTCAAACCCCTTATTGTTGTTGGTCTGATAAAGATACAGATCACTTTGATTGTTTCTGAATTGAAAATAGAATGCATTTTATATGTGTTAAATTATTCTGCATTATATACATATAAGCATTTAAAAGCATGCACATAACTAAGCAAATACATTAGCAAATTATTTAATTAAACTACTTATGATCAAAAATTAAAACAGATATTTAAATGCTGCAGCTTATTTTCACATACAGAGAAAAAGCAAAAAAGAAAAATGATTAATGTGAATTCCATATGTTCACAATAACTGAATTCTGCTAATTAGTTGAATATTATTTTGCACATAAGGACTGGATTAATAAATTAACACAATTTCGTTTGTTATGTTATGTTATGTTTTTTTTTTTTCTTTTTTAAACCTTTAAATCAGGTGATAGTGCTAAAATAAGTTTTAAAAGATTACTACACTGGGAGAATAATATGTAGATATTGACTTTCATTATCTATTTTCAGTAAAAAAAAAAAAAAAAAAAAAAAAAAAAACAGCTTATTCTGAATAACAACTGAGATTTAAATATTAATAGAATTCATTTATAAGGTTTAGCAAATATCACATCAAAGAGGGGAAAATTTTTATCTTGCAGTTAATTTTAATAAAAATAAATACAACTGCAATAATAAAAATGCAAATCTCCTTTTCAGCAGTCTCCACTCTAAATTCAAATTTTCTGAAACTAGATTTGAGATTAAGAAGCTAAAAGGGAAATAGGTTACAAAAAAATTGTTTAACTTTCATGATTTTATCTTTTTAGTATAATTCAATACAATAATATCCAACAGTTTAAGATGGGGGGGGGCAGGTTAATGTAGATTTTGAATAAATTCCATTGACACACTTCTGTTCCAGCTTGATTAAATATTGAAATTATATATTTTATACAAAAAGTATAAAAAGTATTACTTGTATGATTTACTCATACACCTTTTTAAAAAAATTAATATATTAACTTATTACATCATGTTGTTTCTATAGTAAAGTAAATGAGATTTTTTATTTACAATTTTGTCTTTTCTTTTTTTATGTTTCATAAAGTATCAGTTATATCAGGTACCTGTACAGCAACATCCTTCTTGAAAAACAATTTTCATAACCTGCTTCACATTATTAACATTAAAAATACATAACTATCACAAATATTATTGTGTGCATATGGTAGCGTGCAATTTTTAGAATATCTGTTTACTTAAAACTGATTCATATTTCTATCAATGAAACATACTAGTCCAAGATTGTTCCAAGGAAAACGTACACCTTTATACTTTCGCTGCCAGACAGTATAATGGTTAGGGGCAACACCTCCTTACAGAAGGAAGCTCTGATGTCAAGGTTAGTCGTCTGACGAACTTTGCTCCTTCTAACAAGCTGAAAGCCCCGTAGTACTGGTGAGGGATGAACGTGTGGTGATTCTTTTGAATTTTTATATTAATTGTTCTTGTGATGTTATAATTTCATAGGATTAAATACATGTGCTGCAGCCACATATCATGAAAATGATCCAAAGATACTTTTTGAACCTTCAAAGTGAACTTAAACGCAGAAATAAATAGACAAGAAATCTGCAAAGCAAAGATGGTTACTAAGGATAAAAAGGAAGTGAGATTTTGTTTCATTTTTCATGTTTTTTAAAGTCTCACAGTTTTTTTTATTGATACATTTGTGGCATTTGTTTTCTTTATTAAATTTTAGTTCATTGACAAGCAGTTTATGGTTAATAGATTTAAGTCTTATTGTAAAAACCTTCAAATAAATATTTTCTTTCAAAGCTAACAATTTTAATCATGAAAATTGTAATATTAACTTTCTCTTATTCCTTATTTGGATACAGATAAATGTAAATGAAATAAAATTCCACTTAACAGGAAGAATTCTAGATGTGGTAGTTACATAAAAGCCAATTTATGTGCTATCATAATTTATGTGCCAAAGACAAGGAGCTAACAAATAATAATAGGTTTCCTTTTAAAATTTTCATATTGATATAAGTTTGTTATAAATGTCTTTAACTGATTATGTTCGACACTCAGGATTTGATACTCCTAATTATTCGCGAATGTTATAAATTTCTCTAAATCTAAATAAATTGTAATCATCATGATGAGCTTTTTAAACATTATAAATTAGTTAAACAATTACATATGTAATTGAAATTATATTGCTGGCATTTTAAATGGTATTTAGTTATCAAAGTACTCATTTAAATCATAGGGCTTACTGACTTCTGTTAATAAATGTTTATGTATACGTATTGTAACTATTGTTACGACAACAAGTTAATTTTAAAATGGCATTTTAATTGGTATTTAGTTATCAAAGCACTTACTCATTTAAATCATAGGGCTCATTGACTTCTGTTACCAAGTATTAACATATACATAACTATTGTAACAACAATAAATTAATTTTAAAATATCTTGTTTTATAGGTTTGTGAACTGCATTTTCGAGGAATAACTTCTGCTATTATACTGGTATTGGGTTATTATAATTTTGTTGATATGGACATATAATGGAAAAATTCAATTCCTTGCCTTTAATTTGTTTTCATGTAAAAAAGTGTCTGGGTTGTGTCTTCATTGGCCACTACTTTTATCATTTGAATATAATTTTAGTGTTAACGTATGATAAAATATTTTATCAAGATAACAGTTATGTGTTTTAGCATGCGGACAAAATAACAGGTTTGTAATCGCTCTTGCTATTATTCTGGGAATTGGCTGAATAAAGGGTGTCTCTGATTAGGAGCACTCATTTCACAAACCTGTGATTTTCATGTGCATTTTGAAATTACCGGTGTCCCATAATTAAGACTGGTGGCTTTCTGGACAAATCATTTTGATATATTCTTTGCTTAAATTAAACAAGCCTGATAGCGAGTAACTTAGAAGATCACGATTTTAGCTTGGAAAAATTAATTACAACAAAATTGCAGTGACCAGATACTTTCAAATTGGATACTGGTGCATAGGTAAAACATTTAAATTTTTTTTTCTATATTTGAAACATTAACTGATAATCACTTCCTTTACACAACATCAATAAATGTTTTTACATATACTGGTGATGCTGACATCCATTTGCCCACTGTTGAATGTATCTTTATATGCTTCATAAATAATAATAGCCATCGTATAAAATTTAATATCATTTGTGCACCTGAAGTGTTTTAAATGGTAATGGACGGTCTTCTCAAGTGTTTGCCCGATATTTATCCATATTATGGGCAGTATCGTAATACATTTTGAAACTATTAATTGGCTGTTGTAAAAAGTTAATAACGGTGTTTTTGTAATTGCCAGACAAAATGGGTTGAAATTTAACGAATAGAAACTTGAACTTGCAGTATCAAAATTTAAATATTAAGGTCACATAGTCTCATCTTATTGTTTCTGATGAGACCCAATTAATATAGAAGCAGTTTTGAAATTTTCACACCTGTTAATAAATAAGAATTGATGAGATTTCTTTAGTATGGCAATATGCTTAATGAGATTTCTGCTTCAATTTTTACAAGAAAGTTTGAATAATTTATTGAAAATAAAAGAGATCAGCTGGTTTTTATTTGTATGTTATAACTTAGGTGTTGTGTTGTTATGCTGACTGCTTGCATAAAATTGTAATAAAAATTTTTTTATTTTTCACTTGTGAATCTTTATTTTCAAGTTCAGCTATATAACTAACACAATACAGTTAAGTACATATACAACTAATATTATTGGTTCTACAGATTTAAGCAATAATTTTAAATTGCACATTGAATTATTTGCTAAGCAAACCTCTGATATACTAATTTATTTGAAACTTGCAAGACACATAGCATATTATAGACAAAATTTAGTGCATTTTTATACCATTTTCTTTTAAAGACAAATTACTGATTGGAAGAAAAATGAAATGATAAGTAATAGTTTGTATGCAGATAAATTTGGTTTTTTTTTTTTTCATAAATATTAGAAAAATAAATAAAGCATTAAATATTAAATTATGAGGGAAAAGTCAGAAAATTCCTTTTTTGAGTTAGTATGGCTGATTTTTAACTTTAAATGCTGCTGTGTGAAACCTCCAAGGAAGTGTGATTCATTAGTTAAAGTCTAGAAATAAGAAACAGAAAATTCTTAAATTTATGTCAAATTTTATTGTGTTAAATTTTGAAGTAATTAAATTATTCATTATATATAATAATAAGACATTTCTTCTGCCTATATAAAAGCAATCATATATTTCAAAACATTATATGTCACAATAAGACATTTTTTCATACAAAAGTTTATTTATAATGAACATTATACTGAAACTATATAAAATTATAAAAAGAGGTAACTTTTTTTTTTTTTTTCCAAAAATTTTGGAAGAGTCACTAGATACTATATAAATTATGAAATAGACAGGGTGATCTTAAGGAAATACTTTTCTTTCAGAGAACAAGTACGATCCTTTTTATAATGTAATTAATTTTTAATAAGCAGAGAAGTAAATATTTTGATAGAAATTCAGCTGTATTCTAATAACAGCTGTTTTCATGCATAATGTTTTTTAGTAGATTTGTAGGAACAAGTTGTTTTCTAGTTAGCAATGCTTCCCTGTGAAGTAATTTTTTAGAATTTAATATACTTTTTAGGGTAAACGTCTGTAGTTAACCATAGGCATTAATATTTATTTTATTTTTTAATATTACCTACAAAACATGAATGTTTACCCTTTAGTTTTTGGCTGAGGAACTTATAAAAACTTACTTGTTTATTTTCTTAATATATTAAAATCCACGAAATATTAATTGTACTGTTTACATAGAACAAAAATACTGAATCTTTGAATAAAATCCAACCCAAGTATTTATACCAAATAGTGAAAGCAACGTTAAATATGGCATTAGCGTGCAGCCTATTTTGTTTCGTTGCCCTTTCTCAGGGTTTCGACTCAGACGACTACTCAAACGTCACAATCCAGTGTCCCAGCTTTCTTCTGTAAGGAGGTGTTGTTAGGAGAGCCTACTGCAGTACCGAAAGGCCTGGGTTCCAATCCTGGAGAAGGCATGGTTTTAACTGTCCGTCCCTTCATAGGAGGCAACAGTGACTGTCTGTTAGCAGTGACTGCCTCCATTTCTAGCTTTAGGAATGGTCAATGTTGAATAGGTAAGTACCCACCATTGAATAAGAGGAAAAAAAATATTCGCCACTCTAATTGCTGATAAACTGCATTATCATTTTTAATGTTCAACACTTCATACATCATATAACATCAGAAGGGGTGCTAATGAACTTTGAATTGCACTTTGCCACAGGCCTTAAAGCAATGAATGTCATTTTTTTTTGGGAAGGGGCAAGATTAAGTTATTGTTTATATAGTCTTATTAATTCAAGCAACTGAAAAATCTAATCATTCTAGCACTGATTTAAACATCATTACTGCTAAGCAGATATTTCAGGGGCAAAACAAAAACATTCCTTTTGGGTAAAGCAGTATAATCAATCCTCCATTTCTGATGATGCTCTCTTATGGAATGACAATTTTTGGTCAAGCAGAAAATAATCCAAGCCCTTAAAAATATGTATTATATGCTTACTTGCAAACAGTTCATGACCTGCTGGTATCTCTTGCTATTTCAACAAGTATCTTATTTTGTTCCCAAAGCATTACAACTTGCTTTCTTTCAACAAACGGCAAAATCTAAGACTTGTCCATGCTGTTGCCTAATACTGATGAACCAAAAATGATGAGACACAATATACAGTAATTTTTTACATTTCTGTGCCACATTGGACAAGAGTACTTAGCACAAACTGTTCACCAACAAGTCATCTAAAACTTATGTCCATTCTACAATATGAAATCAGAAGGAAAGAAGCACTGAGACATTTTTTGTTTTTGCTTACATTTAGCAACTAAAATTTCAAGTTCATGGCCAACATGGTTTTATATTGTCTATATATATATATATATATATAATTAAATGGAATGGTGACACTCATATTTGGCATTGCTTTTCTAGATATGTATTACTTCCCAAAATATCCCATAAATGTTTTGGGATGTTTTACTGATTTTGAGGATGCCTGAGACAGTACATTGGTAGTTATTAATGCTTAAACAATTTACTGCAAACAGAGAATATTCTAGAATAATTTATTTCAATTAGAATTAATTTGGGTACCCCCCCTATAAATGTAAAAACACAATTTTGATAGCTATAAAAAATTTTAAAAGAAAGTTTTTTCCCCCTCTTTGTCTCTTTGTGTATTTCAATAACTACTATTTACTTGAGTATTTCTAACTTTTCTATAATACGTTTACTTAGGAAAAGGCTTTTCTATAGCAAAACAAAGTGACAGATTTGCCTTTAGCAAACACATTAAATGCATAATGTTTGAAATTATGAAATTGTTTGCTGAAAGTAATACAAGTTTTTTGTTAAAAAACTAAATGCAAACTCTATCTGAATTCTGAAACAAAATAAAAGCTCAGGTGAAATTTGTAAAAAATTGTTAACTGCCTTACAGCTTTAACAAATTGTTTATTTTCTTTCGTACTTCAATGGTCAAGACTATATGCAGATGCCTTTCCCACAAATAATATAATCACCATACAAAATTCAAATAATGATTCTTTGCTTAGTAATGTTTAAATTTCAGGGTTAACTGCAAATTTAATTTCCCCCAGTATTAAAAGTTGAATCTTTTGCATAAACAGTTTTTCTTTTCCTGACACAAAAATTGTTCTGATTTTAGACAACTGTATGGCTCTTACTTCACTTAAAAGTTGATGTATTGATATTATTCTTTCCTCCAAACTGTATGTCCATCATTCGGCCTATGGATATTGGAATAATGAACGCGCTGAAATGCGTAAGTAGTATTTTTAAAGTCTGTCAAATTCTTGAACAATGGCAAGAGTATTCAAGAATTTTTTAAATGTTTCGGAATAAAATGTGTGGAGCATCACAATAGGGAATACAAATATTTAGGGCAATTAAGTAAGAAACACAAGTTGTTCTACTGTAAACATTGCATCTACGCTCCGTTTTTTGTGGTTTATAACTCCGTTTTTCTGAAATTTTTTTCCGTTTATAAGCTGAATGCACTTGTGATTCATTATTAATTAAAGCTTATTTTCCTTTAAATTCTTAATTTATTTTTTCCTTTCCCCCCCAAAGAATTATTCTACATCATTACGTTAAAATTTAGAATGATTTTTGGTTCCTGGGAAATGTTTATGAAGTATGTCAATTCCTTTGAACAAAATAAGAATAAAAACATGCAGGAATATGATAAATGATAGTTTGCTGCCTTAGACTTACAGTTGCTACTACACATATATTAAGATTTACTGTTATTGATAGCTAAATTATTTCTACCATTTGTACTTAGCATGATTTTCCTCAGCATGCATTGCTTAATAGATTAATTAATCACGCTAAATGACATATCAAGTGTTAACCAGTGTAGTCTTTTACCTTTACTTTTGACTTCAAGCATTTTAATTGCATAATAAAAATGTTACTAGTAAAAATGATTATGAAAATGTTAATCCTCAAATGCATCATGAAATAAAAAGTGTTAACATTTCTAGCATACTCACTGTAAATTTACCAGGTTATTATTTAACATCTATTTATATAATACTACTGAATAAAGTAAACTTTATTAAGTTTTTGGCATGTTCTGATTAAAATAAAAGGGGGTCTTTATTTGTCAACACTACTTCATTTTCAGATAATAGTATGAAGCAATTTTACTCACAAACTAAATACAAGTAATTAGTAAGTTAAAATCACAGAAATATTACTATGAAAAGTAAAAAAACGATATAAACTTCTCACTTTTAATAACTCATCTGCAGAAGATCGATTGTCAACATCCACATCTAGGCACTTGTCAAGGAAGTCCTGGAAAACAGGTGATAACTTAGCTTTGTCTTTGATTTCAGGTTTTCCATTTGTAGCTATGAGATATAATGCCTGAAAAAGAAATTAATCATGATATTTTTTTATTTTTAAATACTTCACTTTAAATTATTTTTAGATACAATGTGCAAAAACAAATTAAGTGCATTATGTGATTTGATTGGTATTTAGATATCAATATATATTTAATAAACTAACACTATTGTCAAATTTAAGATTAAATAGAATATTTTTTACTGGCTTAAAATATATATATGAAATAGTAGCAAGGAAAAGCCGGAACACTGTGGATGCGTACATAGATCCATATTGAAGGAGAATTCCGATTGCGTAGTATGCTTATATGTTGATTTGAGAATATCTAAGAGAACTTAGCAGTTGAGGCAGTTTTGATTCTATTTTTATTTTCAAGTTGACGTTTGTGGCCACAATTACTTGGCACTATAGTCGTGCCTTTTTACAGAATATTTACATTTTTGATATTATTGCAATAACAAGCAAGACAGTGAAGTTACATTCTAGCAGGGTAGGGAGTGAAGCTGAAGTGCGTAATTATCCTATACGGAAGCACACAAAGAGAAAAGTTTTGGTTTGAGTTAAAAAGTTTCAGTTTCCAATTATTATGTTATCAAAGCTGTGCAGAACATGCAAAATAGAATGATCTAGTTGATATCTAGAAATGATGCAACCCAGAGAAGTTGTTACCATTTTTAGAACAGAGAGGGAGAATTAAAGTTTTACCGCTAGTTTAAATTATAATTTTGATTTACATATTCTTTATTCGGAGCACTGTTGATGCGTACGTAGATCTCTACTGAAGAGGAAGAATTCTGATTGTGTAATATGCTTATATGTTGATTTGGTAATATCTAAGAGAACTTGACAGTTTCTGTGTTTTCTTTCTTCTGTGTTTCCCAAGTTATTTGTCATTGGCGTCATCTATCGGGAAAACATCACACACTTTTTCCTAGACCCAATATAATTATTAAGAGCTGCATTTGATGCTTTTAAAGCTCTTTGTTTGTTAATCAGTCAGAGACAAATTGAAAAATATTACATTTTAACAAATGACACCACACTATTGGGTGGAAGATAAAAGTATTTTATTTCAGGCAGTAGCAACATATATTGCCTTTAAATAACTGAGTTTCTTGACCAAATTTGAAGGACTTATTTTTGAGCATTGGCAATACCTTGCTTCTGAATTACCAAGTTCGCCAATAAAAAAATTAATTAAATTTTCAAAAAACGTGAAATAAATAAAAAAAAAATTCAAAATTCAGGATAGGTGCTGCTATTTTTTTGCAGTAAGAGGCATTATTTAATAATAAAGATATATAAAAGGCACAAATAACAGAAACCAAATTAAATTTTTACTAAACTACAATACCAACTATACACTCTAAAAGTGGTAAAAAGTTAGTCTTGATGTAAATAAAAAAAAAGTGTGTTTCACGACATTGTTTGTCTAATGTGCACACACTCAGCATGGCTTTGTCAGTTGATTTGTCTTATAGGATTTAAAAAAATAATACAGACCCCAAATCCTGCTGATACTCTGATGTCAACAAAGCTGGGGTAAATTTATCTCAAAATTTTAATGCAGTCATTGCTTCCATAGAGTCTATATTATCAAAATTATTTGCAATTTAGATTCTTATATCGAAAACGCAAACTGTCAATTTCTTCGGCCCATCCGTCTTTCACAAAGCAGAATAATAAAAAAGCATTTGATCAGAAAGCTCTAAAGTGATGAGAGATTATTTGTACTTGACATATGAAATAAAACTGTACCTTATATTAGCAGCTATGAGTTAATTCATATTGATTTTATAGAAAAGGAAAGTGCTTGGTCCTTGGTAACAAACTGTGTATTTTTAAGAAGCATAACAGTAAAAGTATTAAATTTACACTTTATATATTGCAGAAAGGCACGAAACATGATCAATTACTGGATTTCTATTCAAGTACCTCCTTTTTTATACATGAAAAAAAAAAAAAAAAAAAACAAAAAAAAAAAAAAAAAAAAAAAAAAAAAAAAAAAAAAAAAGCAACATAAACTATAAGAAGTAAAACTTTTATGCTGATTTATACATAAATCTGCTCAGATGCAATTAGCTGAGTCAATCTTTATTCCTTATTCTTGCTAACATACAGTTGTAAAGATTTCAGCCTTTTTAAATTATATTTTGATTGTATTTTAGAATTAAAAGATACATATGCAATTTAATTTGAAGAAAAACACACCAATGCAAATATTACAATCAAGAGGAGAAAAAGCACTTTAGATATGTGCAGATTTTAAATAAAACTTTATGCCAATCCAAGGTTGATTTTAAACTTAATATATGAAGTTATTTTAACATTTTGTGGTTACATGTCTGTTTACAGTTACCACAATACTTTTATTGTTTCAGCCATATATTAACTCTCAATAAACAGAGCTAGCATCAATCTAAAAGAGGATTAATAAATCTGCCCATTAAGGGATAGCTTTCAATAAATATATAAATTTTGTTTTAAATATGAAAAATATCTTCATTTCTTATTCTTATTAATATATTGTTGAAAAGATTTAAAACTTTTTTGATTGTATTTTTATTTTGCTATATTGTTGTAGTGTAGTATATTCTTTTATTTATTTACTAATTTATTCATCATTGTTTTATTTACTAATTTATTCATTGTCCTTATTTTTGTTAATATATTGTTGTAAAGATTTAAAACTTTTTTTTTTTTTTTTTTTTTTTGCTATATTTTAGCAGTGTTGTATATTCTTATATTTATTTACTTATTTATTCATTGTTGTTGGAATGATGGTTTTATGGTTTATTTTGTGTTAAATTTGTGGCTACATATTTGCATTTAAGAATTTATTTATTATAGAAAATTGTAAATCTCTCAATTCTATGTCCAATAACATTTAAATTGTAAACATAGCTCAAAAGAAACTCAAGATATGAGCAATTTGCTCTTTTCAGAATTCAGCATGCTCTCCCTGGGATTCATGTTGAATATGTATATGGAATGGGAAGTGTAAAAATGACTATTAATAATACATAGTTTGAGTTATAATTACTATTTTGGTAGTTGAATTAAACTACCAAAGAATAATTTGAACTATAATATTACTAATAATAAATGCTTGGACTAAAATTTCAATAAATCACACATTTATGCTGCCAGTGGAATGGTATGCCAAGCAGAAATCCTGAATGATGAAAGCTCTGATTATAAGCTCTAAGCTCTGTTATAGAACTTATTAAGTCAAAGAGCTTTAAAAATAAAGTTATTCACTAAAGGACAAAATCAAGTAAATAAATATTAAAAATTTTGTATAAATAATGGATGTTTTAAAATTATGACATAAAATTTATAATGTATTTAGGAAGCTTATTTAAGAAGGAAGTTTATTTAGGAAGAAAGCTTTATACATGAGATTTGCTTTCCATATTTGAGAAAATAGAGTATGTCCTATGTTACAATCTTTGTAATAAATATGTAATTTTATAAATATAATGCTATATGTATATATGTGTGTGTGTGTATAATAACACTGCTCCATTATTCTGATAAGACTGCGTTATTATTGTAATAAGATGACTTGGTTGAAGTTGCAAAGGATTGGTGGTGGTTCTCTGCATCATAACTTGAAGACAAATTGATTGCGCAGTTAGAACGATGGATGCATAAACCAAAAACACTTGCAGACATGGCCTAAATTTCACAAATAATTTTATTTTTGGATAATGCACATTATCACTGTGGGTGCAATATGCATCATCCAATTTTGTACAGATTATATCTTCTAAAGGACGAAAATTAGAAAAGTAAACTCGGTGCTACTTTGGTAGACGGTTGCACAGATTTTTGGAGATTTACGTTGGCACGATTTTTACAATCGTCAGCCATCTTGAAAAACGCTGTTTTTACGCATAGTAAAGTATTCGAAACTTTAAAAAAAAATAAATATCGTTAAAAGTAATGGATTAATTTTTTGTTGAAAATGTCATTTTTTAAGATGGCAGGCATGTGTAAATAAATACATTTACTATGAGTATAAAATACTAAAGTAAGGCTATTATTACTTTCATACAGCAAAAAAGAGAATAAAAACACCGCTATAAAAACATTGTGCCAACGTTTAATTAGATTAAAATATTACTGAAATTGAATATCGAATTAAAAACCATCCTACCAACATTTAAAAGAATTAGAATATTATTAAATTCAAATACTTTAAAATACGTTATATAAAATATAATTAACATTAAAACATATGTGACAATAATTATCTCAGCAATTTTTGAAAATAGTGTATTAATTTTTTTAACAAAAATTGAAGTATACAATTATAAAATAAAAGAAAAATAAGTACTTACATTTTTTTGAGTAATTCAACCTCTTGTTTATTGATAAGTAACAAAAAAAAAAAAAAAAAAAAAAAAAAAAAAAATCGAAATCATAATTGAATCAGCTCTTTTAACCATCTTCATCTGTTATCCACATAACTCGCACTTCATTGAAGAAGCAATTAGAGAGGTTTCCGTAAAAAATTTAAAATAAATTTCCTCTGACGCTATTAACAATTTATAAATAAATCTTTGATTAGGAAAGACAGGTTGGCCAAAATAAGGTCTCAAAGGGCAATTTTTTTATTCCAATACCAATAATTCTTGGTAATTACCAATAACAACATTCATCTTTGAAACGGAGATATCCATTCCATTTGAAATCTGAGGAATTCGAAGAGATGAATAATAAAATTTTAAAATGGCCTGGTAATGCACAAATGTTCAGTAACCAATCAAGGAGCTGATTATATCATGCACAGAATTAAAATTATTTAAATAATTCTTTATAATAAAATCATTTTTAAAACAAATGCAAAATTAAATTGTATTTTAATATTTAACAGCCTATAGATTAAATTTATATGGCTATAGATTAAATTTATTTATGGCAATAGATTAAATTTATAGATAATTATAAAACCAATTACTTTTTAAGTAAGGTGACGTCATTGATTACATCATCCACAACATAAAATTATATAAAATATTATAACAACAAAATTTTTATTTCAAATAAAAATGTAAAATTAAATTGATTTTTAATATTCAGAAGCCATAAATAATATTTAAAACACGGAAGTTATGCATAATAAAACACATTATTTTTTTAATAAAATGACAACTAAGTATCGGTTACCATAAATAACTTATCCAGCAATGGGTTTACCATAAAATGTATTACTCGCCAAAAGAAAAATCGTCAAAATCTGTGCAACCGTCTACCAAAGTAGCACCGTAAACTCTGCATGGATGGCTGCAAGGCGACACAAGCGTCTGGAAGCAGAAGCGAAGATAGAAGAGAGAGAGTTGCGATGCAATTAAGCTTTCATACCGCAATCCATTTCAGATCACATGGCAGTTTAATGTACAAATGTTGGGTTCAGACTTTACTGATAAATGCGCAATACAGTTTAGATGATGGATCTTTTTCATTTAGTTAAAAATTATTGCTCTGTTATTTTTAGAATGAAGACAGGAGGAGTTAAAGGGCTATTAATTTATTATTTGAAAGATTTTGAAAGATTGATATTTTATATTTTACATATTATTCCCTTTAAGAAGATGGTTTGGTGAGAAAAAAGGTATTTTAGAGAGAAAGTGCTAAAGCAGTAGCAAATGAATAGAAATAATTTGAAAAATAAAAATCCTGAAATTTTGACCAAAATAATTATTTACATAATTGCAAAATATAAACTTTGATAAGGTTTTTAAAGTCCTTTAAAAATTTTCTATCTCAAAGTCTTTGTGGTTTAGAGTCCACATAATTAAATTTTTTCAGGAAAGGCTTTACAAAGCTTTACACACAATATCACAGTTGTATTTTCAAAACACAGCCATTTCTCAATATTATAACATTACAAATTTTGTAATAGTATTACTAAAATTATGGTTTTTACAGTTATTGTTACATTTTTAATTTTCTTATTTTTTACAAAACTCAACAAAAACCACTTAAAACTGAATCATGTATATCATGAGTGGCTAAGTGTTGCTTTGGCAGGCCTCTGTTCCTTGGTTAGAGGCAACTGGTCTTTTCTTCGAACTGCACTATACATTCCATTAAAAAAAAAAAAAAAAAAAAAAAAAAAAAAAAAACACTATTTATATATATAAAAAATAATTATATGAAAAAATTATAAGGTGGAAGCCTTCGTTCTATATACCTATATGTTTATCTTCTGATATGAGGAAGGTAAAAGGACCACATAACAGAGGTAAAAACAGGGCCTCTGTTTTAAACCAGCATTCCCTCATCATAATCTATCTTTCTTTACATGCAATTATTCTTTTTCTCTTTTTAAAATTTTTAGTATTTTTATATTCATCCCAAATATACTTAATATTCTAAACATTACATATATTCTATTTTATACCTAAAACATAAATCTACATCCAATTTTCTGTACCACATTTTCAAAACTAACTCATTCATAAAATTCAAATTTTTAAATAATCTCATTTTTAATTATTACTACAGTAATTTTAATAACCTTTCCTAAACAAAATAATTATAAATCCTTAAATCTGTTATTAAAATGTAATTAGGAAAATCTAAATTTTTTGGCATCATAAAATTCTAATCATTTTCATATAAATAGTACTAAATTTTTAAAATCTAATATAAACAACATTAGATACCTAAATTTCAAAGCAGTACTTAATTAAAAATCACTTGCTTCATGGTAATGAAAAACATTTAGTATACATAATTAGAAAAAAAAAATATTTTGTGCTTTTGCAAAGAAAAGTAAATTTCAGGAATTTTGCACTAAATGTAGATGCAAAATTTACACTGGTGTGCAAAACTTAAGCAACAATGCAAATTTTAATCAGATAACCATGCAGTTGCAGAAAAGGGGTTCTCACTATCGGTACAATGAACACGCAATTCAGTAGAAAGGTCATGCATATGCAAATGTCCAGAAAAAAACACAGGCAACGTGATTGTACGCAAAACGCTTGCGCTCCACTCAAGACTTCCATAAAAGAAGGACGAAGGTGCAATTAAAGACATTCACTGCAAGTGCAAGTGAAATCTTTCCTGAAATATGGCTAGAAGAAATCATCTGGATGACTTCACGAGTGGAAGAATGATCGGAAAGCTGGTGGAGGGGCGTAGTGTGGTTGAAGATTTCGAAGTCAACAAAAGTGTTGTTTTGCGGGCTTGGAAAGCCTTCCAAACCATAGGTACAGCTATTAGAAAGGCTGGTGGTGGCCGCTCCAGGACAACAACTGCAGCAGATAACCGATATATCGTCCTACAGGCGAAAAGAGCCCAAAACCAGTCAGCAAGCTCCACAGCTCAGCAACCGTGTACAGCAACCGGCGACAATTGTTGTCGTGGTTTACTGTGTCCAGACACCTTCACAAAGATGGCCTATTCACCCGCCGTCCTGACCGCTGCATCCCTTTGAAAGTTGGCCATCGGCGCCACCGTTTAGAGTGGTGCAAGGAGCGCAAAAACTAGGCATCTCATCAATGGAGTCGTGTCCTCCTTACGGATGAGAGTCGTTTTAGTACCCCAAGCGATTCTCAACGCCAACTTATTTGGAGAGAGGTAAGGACACGGTTTAATCTCAGTAACATCACGGAAAGAGACCATTACGATGTCCTGGAGATCTCGTCTGGGGAGGCATTATGCTGAACGGGCGGACAGAGCTCCACGTTTTCGACAGAAGTTCTGTAACCGGAGATCGCTATTGTCAGGAGGTGATCCTTCCCTATATGCATCTGTTCCGAGGTGCAATTGGACCAGACTTCGTTTTTATGGATGGAAAATGCATGGCCACACTGGACTCCTGCTGTTTATAAGCTACTGGAAAGGGAAGATATCACTCGAATAGATTGGCCAGCACACTCCCCTGATTTAAATCCCATAGAACATGTGTGGGATGCTTTGGGGAGACGCCTTGAGGCACGATTACATCCTCCGGCGAACCTCCAACAACTGAAACAGATGCTGATTGAGGAATGGGCACTCTCACCTCAAGATCTGTTGGAAAATCTGGTGCTAAGTATGGGGAGACGGTGAGAAGCAACCATTGCAGTAAGGGGAGGGCATAACCCATACTAAGGAACATCTGCTTGTTGTTCTTCTTATACAGACAATCATGTGTAACGATAGTACGAGTTCAATAAAGCCTGTTTTTGATTAGTTCCATACTGTATGCATTGTATTCATTTTTGCACAATTAAGCTTTTGTCATCATTTAAATACAAAATGCTGTCTCTTATTTCTGAATTTCATGTCTCTCAGATGATATCTCGTGGATTTATGTCAAAAAGAACACCTGTTGCTTAAGTTTTGCACACCAGTGTAATATCCATTGCATAATTTTCATTTTTTAAACCGCTGAAAAGAACAACACTTAATTTAGGCGATAAAATAGCTGAAGAATAAAGGTAAACACGAAGATCGATGCCACACACTGAAAACGGATGTTCACTTGTTAACATATTCAGATAAATGGTTTTGTGTAAAAAAAAAATATTTTGTGCTTTCAGATAAATGGTTTGTGCTTCCAGTGTAAATGATCACTAAAGCAGAGGTAAAAGCAGAGGTAAAAAAGCAGAGGTAGATAGCAAATTTGTCAGTAGAAAACCAGAGAAAACAATATTATTTTTAGTCCAAAGGGACTTTGTCCCTGAAGGACTATTGTGTTTGTTTTGCGATTTTGCATCAGAACCCTATAAATAGCGTACCACTTTTCAAATCGTTGCCACCAAATACTATCACCCTGTATTATATTTGAAGATATTAAGTAATGAAGAATCTGCATAAATGTTTCTCGTATTAAAAAGAATCTGCATGTATGTTTCTCGCATTGTAATAAAACAACAGTACTTAGAGTCATCCAATTTTGAATGACATAATCCTACTGTGAACATGGGCATCTGAAAGCCCACATTTGAAATTTGCTTTATTATCGATTTAATATTTTGTAAAACATTAACAAATTTTTTATTAACAAACTCGATGATTTAAAAGCAAGAAATGGAAACACTCTATTGGGGGGGGATGCTTTTTTACCTCGAGTGCGCGAACTGTGTATCAGAAATTATAAAGATATGTTCATTTTAAAATTATTTGGAACATTGCTGTTGAACTGAATTTTATGGTTTAAATGCAAAGAAAATGATATTTAATAAATAAAGGTAACACACAAAATGTTAAAAAAATGCCTTTTTGGTCGTAATTTAAAATCTGAATCCTTTCAGATTTTTTTTCCCTTTTCTTTCTTGATATTGCTAGACAATTTAACTTTTAACTGACAATTTAATTCAAAACACCAATGTTCGATCAAGCAGGGATCATTTTGAACAAGTTTGAGCCCGGCTGCATCATAGAAGTAATAACACTTCTCCATTATTGTGATAAGACTGCATTATTACTATAAGAAGATGACTTGGTAGAAGTAAGTTGCAATGGATTGGCGGTGGTTATCGGCATCATTAATTTGAAGGCAACTTGATTGCGTAGTTAGAACGATGGATGCATAAACCAAATGAAGTATTATTATTAAACATAAATTTATACATTAAAAGGATAATCAAACACAAAATTCGCCATATTATATATACTAACTCTTAATGGGCTTTCATTTAAATATGGAGGTTCACCCTCAATCATTTCAATAGCCATAATCCCAAGTGACCATATATCTACTTTTGGACCATACTGTTTCCTAGTGACAATTTCAGGAGCCATCCAGTAGGGCGTCCCTACCATGGTTGATCGTTTACTCTGCTCAGGAGAAATCTGGGCACAGAATCCAAAGTCAGCTAAAAAAATTAAACATGCATTTTTAAAAATAATGAAGTAAACATATTTAATTCAAATCCAAATCAATTATCAACATCACAAAGCATTCATATTATGAAATAATTTTGAAAACTTCAAATTTTACTTCTCTTGATGTACACACACACACACACACACAAAAAAAAAAAAAAAAAAAAAAAAAAACTAATGATATTTTACTGAGACAAAGGGAAAAAAAATGAAAAAAGAAAAACCAGTAATCATACAGTATGTGATTACTGCTGCTTTTATTTATTAGATGACAGCATTCAAGCTGGTCATTGTTTTAATCATTTCTCCCTCTTATAATTTTATTCCCATTTAAATATAAAAGTAGCATTTTAGTGAGACCATATAATAAATAAATAATTAAAAGCAGTAGAGTTTAGAAAGGCATTTTCATTTGCTAATGCAAATAACATATTATATATGTGACTCTTATATTTTGAATTCTTATGTATGTACATTCACTGGCTGTATGTAGTTCTGCCATTTGCACATGAAGTTTTGAGATCCTCAAAATGTTCTAGATACATGGACTTATTTTACAAAAAATGCATTCCCCCCCTTATTTTCATTCAATGTTACTTATGATTATTATATTTATTTAATTTCTTTTAACTTGCATATCTTGCCTTTTTACAACAACTAGTGTGATACTCTTTTACACGGGGTCAACACAAAGTGATTAAATTAATTTGTAATCATGTCATTACATTTAGTCATATTTACATTTAGACATGTCTTACACATGTGTTTTATTTACATTTTTTAGAATAAAGGTAACTTTAAACAACTGTTTTAAACATAATATGACTGCATTTCCCTGATATATACATAAATGTAACTAATACACACACATGCACATATATTAATTTAGATCCTGATGATAAGGTGATGATGCAGGTAGCAGAAATTGTAGCATACATTTAGTGTTTTATTTCTTGATAAACAAAAACATTTTATTTCATGGCACATACAGTAGTGCAAGAAATGTACCATTCTTTAATAAATTTTAACATTTTTATGATGTATTTGCAATTAAATAAGAAAAACAGCAATAGACAATTAATGCACAGATACTTAAGAGGTCTGGATAAAACTGATTCATAGTAAAAATACCAAGTTTTTGATTTAAAAAAAAGTGTGGGAAATTTTAAAGGAAAAAAAAAAAAAAAAAAAAAAAAAAAAAGAGGGGGGGGGAATAAAAACTTAATTAATTTTTAACATAGTTACAAAAGTTTTTTTTTTTTTTTTTTGCTGAGATGTAACATGGAAACTGTGTTTTGAAACATTTTTTTTCGCCCCCCCTTCTTTTTGTTTCAGTTTTAAAATAACCAGACATCATCAAAATGAAGATAGACATGTTAAAACATAACAGAGAGAAATGGGGAAAAAAAAAAAAAAAAAAAAAAAAAAAAAAAATGCTGTTTTTAATAATTTTACAATATTTATTAAAACTTTTTAAGAAATTTTAAAACAAATTGTAAGCAAATTGATTTTGAAACTGTCAAAAAAATCATATTTAAAAATGGGAAGGACTTATTTTCCTATGTAACAAGGAGAACAAATTCAAAATGGAACCCAGAAACATGTACTTTAAATAAAGATTTGGTGGTAAATCCCAGAAGTGGTGCAAATTTTGGTACCTCTAGAAAAATCACAAAATCCATAAAAAATTAATTTTATACATACGATCAGATGAATTCTCTGTGTAAATATGTGGGCTTTACCAGATACAGACTGTTCTAATACATGCAAATATTTTCAGAATATTCATTCCCTTTTTGGAATGCTTGTTCATTTAGTCTTTTATCCACATTCTTTTGATGAATTTCTAGATTCACTGATAACAGTGGCAGGAAATCTTTATGAATCTGCCCTTTGACCCTGCTGGAGGTCACATTTTGTTATAGTAGGTGTCAAAACAAGCCATATGTTCCAGGTCAAAGTCCAAGAAACTCTTTTTTTCAACAGAGGTAGTTAATAAGCATCTGCTTTAGAACACCTGACAAAAAATCACTTAAGTATCCCCAAAATTCTGTTCCATGTAGGCTGATTATTTCCTATCATTAACAATGCCATTTTATGATGACTTTGCTGCTAACCATATGGTTTGAAATCATGTTGATCCAAAATGTTAATTTACACTCAAAATGGTAAGTGTAGAAAGAGGAAAAGAAATGTGAGACGAACAAAATTAATGGATCTCTCACAAACTTTGACAAATTAATGACCAAAAATCATTAAAAAAAACAAACTTTACTTTTTTAACTTTTAAGGTGTACAAACCGTGTATAATGAAATATAAATTAAAACTATTTATAAAAAATTACATAATTTTAAACAAAAAAGCAATTAAATAATTACCGTATAACATTTTTCATCAGTTTGGAAATATATATTTAATACATGCTTTTAAAAGAATGAATATTAAGATGAATCGTAATAAAAATTATAAAGAAAACCATAATGAATCATAACGAAGTTAAAAAAGAACTAAGTACATATTTATTAATACAGTCAAAAGTCTTTAATCCGGACTTGTCAGGACTTCGGCGATTCCGGATTATCAATTTTTCCAGATTATAGATCATCAGTTTAAATCTGGTAAGATGGCATGCAGAAATTATAAAATTAAAAATATGAAACCGTAATTTATAAAATAATGAGCAATTATGATCAAAATTTACAAAAAAAAAAAAGCTTAATATTTATTTGTTTACTTTATTAAATATTTCTTTCAACGCGTGCATGCGTAAAGCATACCTTACACATAGCCGAAATTAGAAAATTGCAACCAGAAAACTATTTGATTTGTATTCGTGATATTTATAATGACGAGGAATTTGATTTAAATCATAGCAAAGACAAAGTACATCGAGATTAAGTACTACATTTAGTAAGGAATTATAAGTTGAATAAAATACAAACATCTGCCCTGAAGATAACGATAGTGCTGACAGATCAACATCCAGTTCATTGCGCGCCGTGACGTCCCCCCCCCCGCACAGAGAGCAGCGTGAAATTGATAAACAGATTTCGGAACGGTTAGATAAACAAAGGATATACCTTTATCCATTTTTTGTAGCAATTCGTTTTTTGTTTGATGGACTTCGAAACATACTTTCGTTTTCTAGATCCTTTGGGAGCTCCAGCATCGGAAATTCTATCTGACATAATCGAAAGTTCAAGCTTACTTTTATAAAATTGCTCTTACAGTCTGCAAAAAATAATAAGTCGGATCCAATTCGAAGATTAAGGAACAACGCAATCATCAACATTAACTGAAATAGATAATTAGATAATTTTAGCTTATACCGTCCGTTATACATTAAATGCACACGTGAAAACGCATTCTGCGCTCGCGCAGACGCATATGCACAGTCGTAAATGTCTTGCGTGCACGCGTAAAACACATATGAGCATGCGTCAACGCGGTGCATGCGCAGAAAGATTTTAGCTTTGAGGTCCGGATTATAGATCATTCCGGATTATGGGTGTCCGAATTAACGACTTTTGACTGTAATAAACACTCACGATGAAAAATTAAACTAGAACTTTTCAAAACAAATGCAAGTTGATAATTTATCGAAAAAAACTTACTAAGCTTTACACTTCCATCCATCCCTAACAAGATATTGTCACTTTTGATGTCTCTATGTATAACATGATTATAATGTAAAAACTGCAATGCTTGAAGAACCTAGGAGAGAAAATTAAATGTTTATCAGACTAATTCATAATTTAAGCCTCCAATAAAACCCCTCCTCCAATAATACAAAACATTAATATTCTTCCTGCAGTAAAATGAGTTGATAACAAAACTTCTGAAGTTGGAAAAGCATAAGTGTTAAGGTAGGAAAAATACTTGGTCTATATGATCTATACTATATGATCATCAATGTTGACAGAGATCCTGCTAAATCTATGTCAATCATTTAGATGGATGTTTAAAAGAACATTGCTCTTTAGTCAATTAGTTTACAGATAATTTTTTATTTAATTAAATAACAGATAGAAGTTATAGGTATATCATATAAAAAAACTTAAATAAATTCAAGCCTTGAGATTATCTGACAAACAAATTAAATAAAATTTATGCCAGCAATCTAAATTCCTTAATGGCATTTGAAATAGCAATAAAATTGAAATTTTTTTAAGCTGGGCATAACTCTTAAATATGAATCTATGTGGTGTTATACAACTGTGTGATTTTTTTTTTTTTTTTTTTTTTTCTTTTTAGATTTTGCCAAACCACAGATACTTTTAACTAATGTTTTGAGTAAGTGCATCAGTTAACTAGTTTTGTAATTTTAAGAATACCCCAATGCTTGCTGTTCTATGCAAAGAAGGTAAATAATTTTAATCCCCTCACATACAAGAGAAAAGCAGAAAAATAGCTATTTAACATAATATCCTTCTTTACAAAAACTAAACATGTATACTGAGGATTGCTTCTATATAAAATCCGAGAAAAGATCTTTTGTGACATCCCACCTGTCCATCACTAGCGCTAAATCACACGGTTTGGCTAGTTTTTATTTGGCAGAAGTGGTTGATGAGAAAATATAACAAAACTACTCTTATATCAAGTTTAATTTAGCACATAATGCAGTGTACAGAGATTAAAATATATTAATTTAAAAAGTCCCTTAAACAATATGAATACTATATAATACTACTCTCAAATTACGCTCAGCAGTAATGCAGAAACTTTTATTTTTCTGCTCAATGGTAAGAATTAAACATTTAAAAATACATTTTACTGTATTTCATAGCATGAGAATTTTACTGACAATGATCCCACTTAACACAAATGAGAGATCTGAAAAATTGCTTTACAGAATTAATTTGAATTTGAAAAAGTTGTTTTGCTATGATAAGATTTGTACTTAGTCCTCTTCCATTTATAGAAATAGCGAAATACATATAATATTTACTTCTAAACTTTATAATAAAAGAACTGCATTTAATTTTTATGTTATTAGATTTCTTCAATTGAACTTTGTGCGGTACTTTTAATTATCCAAACTCCTCAACCTAAAAGTTGAGAATTCATTGGTGACTAATTTTTTGCTAAGCTAATATGCAAAAGGCAATAACTCTTTTCAAAATGGCAGTGTGCTAAGAATTCCATACAAGAGTAGTTAATAATAAAATTTAAAAAAAGCAAAAGATATCAATTATAAAAGACTTTTTCAAAAAAAATCCTTCGCAAGAAATCAAGAAACTTCAGTAATAAAACACTTTTTTTAAAGAAATTCTCTTTTGCATTGTTGTTCTCTTTTTGCTTAAGAAAAATATCAGAAAATTTCACAAATTCAACTCTGTACAACTTCTGTTTCATACATTGGTCAAAACAGATATACACTACATAACCGGAGTTGGCACATAAATATTTTGGCTATATACTGCTTTGCCTCATAAATACTTTTTGTGACTTTTTGGTACGGATGTGGATAATGAGAAAGTATTCTTTGTTCTATGGTATTCGGATTTCAGAAATGTAATTTTTAATTTTATTTGCAGAATACATAATGTACTAGATAATAATGATGAAAAAATTTATATATAATTTAAAAATATTTAAACTATTAATATGGAATTTTTTATTTTTGCTCATACCTATATTTCACACCATTTTAATTAGTTTGTATGTTATCCATTTCTTATTTGTCACTTTTAGATAGTTTTAAATATTCAACATGCTAATTTAAAAAAAAAAAAAGTATTTTAAAGTGAATTTCATCTTTTATTTTTAATTTTTTTCCGATAAATTCCTCAAAGTAATCTTCCAATAATAAATAAAAATACTTTTTGACAGCACTAGATAAATATATTGCTTCTTTGAAAATATTACGTAATTAAATTCCAAAATTATTATTATTAATAATAAAAATGAAAATAAAGAAATTCCCCATAAATGATACCCAGTAAAAATTATTTGGAAATATAAGATTAAAAATAATTGTTGTAATTTATTGAAGATTATTAAAAAAAAGTGCACATACCACATTTGGCATTATTATCACTTACAACAAATATGCCAAATTTCAAAAGGCACCAATATATAAATTTATATTTATCTTGGGAAATATCAAATAAAAACTGTAACTTTTTTGCAGGTATGCCTAGAAATACATCTACTTTAAAAGGATCGCAAAAATTTTATAATTCAAATTTTTTATGAAAAATTTCTAAAGTTATTTAAAAGCAAATAATAAAAATATCTGAAAATTTTCAGATTTTACATTATGCCCAAGGGGTTATTTTTTTTTTAACATTTATGGGTTAACTTTATTTATTAAATACCACGTTCTTTGCACTTAAACCATAAAATTCAGTTCAACAGCAATGTCAATTTTAAAATGAGCATATCTTTAGAATTTCCGACACAGTCTCGCTCGCTGGAGATAAAAATGTTTTTTTCCTCCCCATACAGTGTTGTCATTGCTCACTTTGAAATCATCGAGTTTGATAATCAAATATTCATTCAATCAAGTTTTACAAAATATGAAATAGATAAAACAAATTCCAAATTAGGGCTTCCAGATGACCATATTTGGTGCAGGATTATGTTATTCAAAATTTGATGGCTCTATGTACCATTGCTTTATCACAATGCGTACGTACATATATGCAGATTTTTCATTATTTAATTTCTTTAACTATAATACAGGAATAATATAATTAATTCTTAAACTGTAATATTTGCTGGCAACAGTTTGAAAAGTGAACAGACATTTAAAGTTTTCAACGTGAAATGCCAAAACGAAATTAATAGCCCATCTAGGCTAACGCTCTTTGTGCTAAAAATGTGAAAATTTTATTTGAACCTAAGTTTTGAATTCTAAAAGAAGGAATCAAGTAAGTTTAACAAATATATATATATATATATACCAAGAGCTAAAATTTTAAGACCTACACCGGTGTGCAAAACTTAAGCAACAGGTGTTCTTTTTGTCATAACTCCGCAAGAAATCATCTGAGAGACATGAAATTCAGAAATGAGAGACGGCATTTTGTATTTAAATGGTGACAAAAGCATAGTTGTAAAAAAAATGAATACAATGCATACAGTATGGAATAAAAAAAAAAAGGCTTTATTGGACTCATGGTATCGTTACACGACTGTCTGTACAAGAAGAAGAACAACAAGCAGATGTTCCTTAGTATGGGATATGCCCTCCCCTTACTGCAGTGGTTGCTTCACACTACCTCTCCATCCTCAGCACTAGATTGTCCAACAGATCTTGAGGTAAAAGTGCCCATTCCTCAATCAGCATATATTTCAGTTGTTGGGTGTTCCCTGGAGGATGTAATCGTGCCACAAGGCATCTCCTCAAAGCATCCAACACATGTTCTATGGCATTTAAATTAGGGCAGTATGCTGGCCAATCCATTCAAGTGATATCTTTACTTTCCAGTAGCTTCTGAACAGCAGGAGTCCGGTGTGGCTATGCATCGTCATCCATAAAAACAAAGTCTGCTCCAATGGCATCTCAGAACAGATGTAGATGGGGAAGAATCACTTCCTGACAATAGCAATTTCCGCTTACAGAACCTCTGTCTAAAACGTGGAGCTCTGTTCGCTCATTCAGCATAATGCCTCCTCAGATGAGAACTCCAGGACCACCGTATTGGTCTCTTTTCATGATGTTACTGCAATGAAACCGTGTCCCGACCTCCCAAATCAGCTGGTGTTGAAAATCACTACTGGCACTAAACCAGTTCTCATCCATAAAGATGACACGACTCTAAACGGTGGCACCAATGGCCAACTTTCAAAGGGATACAGCATTCAGAATGGCGGACAAATAAGCCACCTTTGTAAAGGCATCTGGACACAGTAAACCACAACACTTGTTGCTATGCACAATTGCTGAGCTATGGCACTTGCTGAATGGTTTCACCTGCAGGACAATATATCAGTCATCCACTGCAGTTGTTTTCCTGGGGTGGCCACCACCAACCTTTCTAACAACCTTCTTTCTGGAAAGCTTTCCAAGCACACGAAATGACACTTTTATTTTATTGATTCTGAGCTACACTGGTCACACTCTGATCATTCTTCCATGTATGAAGCTATCCAGGTGATTTCTTCAGGGTTGCCACTCAAACAGGAGAATGAAATTTCCTGACTTTTCCAGGTAGGTATTTCGAGAAAATTCCAGTCTATCCGCGTAATGTTCGTTGGCTGTGCTAAGAGGTAAATTAATTATGGTATTACTTGTACTGTGTAGCAAATTCACTTAAATATTCAATAAATCCCAGAGGACATTTATTCTTAATTATTCTTTGTACACTTTGTTTGATAATTTTGTTTACTTTTCAGCTTAAAATCTTAATAAAATTTAAGATATATACATTGGATAACAACTGCACGTTTTATTTAATTATTACTCATGACCATCCCCAGTTCAACACGAGGCTAATCCGGTTCTTATAAATCACAACGCAATGCTAAAAGTTAGGTTAGATTTTAGATAAATTTAATTTGTGTAAGCTGTATTCTTAAAAGGCACCTTAACACTTGAAAACACAAATATAATTATAATAGGAGTTGTTTTCTCCATTGAAGATTGAGATTAGAATCTGCCCAATCTGTAATAAAATAAGGCTTTTGTTTGCAGACATTCTGCAGCTAAACGAAAGAAAAAAGAAATCTATTTAATGATATTTTTTACTAAATTGAGGTATTTT